TTATTAATTTATTTATACCGTTTAGAATGACTGAAATTACATTTACGTAACTACTAATTGCGACGTTCCAAATGAATGTAACATAAATCAGTAAAGTTACGATTAGTTTACCGGTGACATTAATACGAAAAGTAAATGTCTACGTAATTTTAGTTGCTCTAAACTGATGCATAAACTTCAATATTTGCATGAGCATTCGCAATCTAAATGAGAACTAAGTGTACCAATGACCAATCAATTATCCATTGGTACATAATGGCACCAATTTGGGTCAGACATTGCTGCAGTCCCTAACTGCATCTCATTCTTATGCAATATTCTACAAACTCTATACGCATTAATTTGTTTACGCTCAATTATCGTGTAACAAACAGGACGTAATTACAATAACAACGTCAACAACAACAATCAGACTATCAAATTCGATATCCAGAATCATTATCAAAACATCCCAAACCTCTCTTCCATTGAAACACTAAATTTGACAAATATCAGTGCATTACTCACAAATGCATCCATCATCCCCATTTTCCAAACTACTTACAAACCACTTGCAATGATCAATCCCCCGAATACGCCCCAACCAAGTGATTAAAATTTTCAGTTAGACCATTTTCAAGCAACATTCGTTCTAAAATATGATTCAAAAGTCGAGAAATTTGAAAAGGTTCAGCGAATACTTTTCCAGAAATGATTCAGCGCTTCATACACGTAGAATTCCCACAGTTGTTCGCCAGTAATCGCGAGTTCTTCGTCTTCTTCTTCTTCTTTCTCGTCCTCTGTCCTCCGCCTCGTCTCCTTCCTGTTGTCCTTCGCCCCCTCCGCCCTACCGTGGATCCCCCACCAGCCATTCCACTTTTAAAGACTCGCGCGGAGGACCCGTGAGTACTCCAGATGGTCGTTTTCTATGGATTTACATTATTTACAAACTGGTTTCTCGCGATGTGAAATAAAAATCGTTGTCTCCCACCCCGCCACCTTCGGGCCCGTCAGAAGCGCGACGAAAAAACCGTTGGACAGTGGGGGACGTCTCCCTTCGAAAGACGTACGAGTCGCGCGGCGATCCGCGACGTATATGTACGTCGCCGTGTCCCCGCGGTTCCTAAGTACCACGCCGTGACGTTCGACGGGCCCGGGACACCACGAAAAAATTGATATCCCGTGGATGGTCCCCCCGGTGGAAAAAAAGACACGCGAATTGTCCAATTCCGCGATCGTCGTGCCTCGATTTGTCCATTGTTTTTCGGCTCGTCTCCGCTTTTTCACGTGACCGTGGAGAAAAAGCTTCCGGTGACGCTTCGCGGGTGGCTCGCTCGTCTTCGATCTCACCTCCCGTCCGCCTTCCTTTCGTCGTGCGTGCGGATAATTAAGGCAATTTTCGTAATTATTAGCTTGCCCGGGAAATGAATAGCTTGGCCGAACGATTAAAACACCATTACCCCCGCCGTGAGGCTATAAAGCGTGTAGAAAACACTACCAGTTGGTTTTTTTTTCTTTTCTTTCTTATGGAAATGGATTACGTCTTCTATTATTAAAATTAATTACTTTAATGGAGACACGATTATAATGGGATTATAACACTTCGCTTGTATTAACGACGATTACTTCCGCCGATGGCTCCAACCGTTTGATTCTTTGAGCGTCGCTGGTTGCTCGCTTTAAGATCGCAGATAATTACCATACACGGGAACAAAAGGAATAGGTGGATCCATAATGGGGAAGGTTATTGTGAAAGTCAGCGTAATTCAGTAAATTACTGGTGTACGCTTGCGCGAGCTTGTAATAGATGTTCAAGTTTCACTTATGTTCGATGATTCTTATCTTTATGAACGATTAATTATGCGCGCGGAATCTGCGATGTTAGGAACTCATAAATACAATGTCGTTGGGAACTGTGAAGAGTCTGCGTACAAAAACTTTATGAAGAATTTTTACTACTTCATAACCACAGGATATTCCTGCAACGTGTAATTATTTTAATGAACAGATTACCCCCAGACAAAAAGCTTCATCGATGAAAATAATAACAATCCAGGGAGGAAGTCTGAAGATCGCCGATTCGAGTTGTAATAAAGTATCATCTTACTAACACCACTAACCTAATAAAAAAGAGAAATCAAGTTTGACAGCGTGCCTGGTAATTAATTAACTTTTCAGCCGTCGAGGAAGTAAACCGTTGAATTGACAAACGAGCATTGTTCCTTTCTGCGTTATGCGCCGTAGCGGTCCGCGAGATAAAACACGTATAAATTAAGTTAGCGTTCGCTTTACACGCGAAACAGGCGTCACTGTAGCCTGCGTTACAACATTTTTACACCGGCGGCCATATATTACGCGGAGCGCAAGCCTAGGAGTATCTAAGCGAAAATAACCGGTTTTATCTAAATTGCGTTGTACCGGTGATTAGCATGAAGCCTCTGCCTCCCTTCCTTTTTTTTCCATGGCGCACAGAGGGTTGCACGCGTACGTGCGCGCCGTATCATCGGGAATGAATTTTCAATTTGCGACGGAGCGGACCGTTCGGCCTCTCCCTAACCATTAACACTTTCAGTGACCAATCAATCCTGGGGTATCTTCATTTGATCGACTCAATTACTTGTTACAATTACATTGCGAATTCTTATGCCGTATGGAATTGTTTTTAGATCAACGTTTATTCATAGCAACTTAGAATTTTGACATATTGAAATTATTAAGGTGACCGGAAAGTTTGGTTTTGTCAATCGAAGTCAATTTTTCTGACTAAACTGATTATTAATTAGTGTCAAACGCAACATTTACGGTTATAATATATGTGCTTTTAAAGATTAAATTCTGTAATATCATTACTATCAGTATTAATCTGCCCATATGAAATTAATTTTCAAGATTAGTTCCTTAATCTGTTCACATTACTTTATTCAAACTATTAAATTAATAAAAAATAACACCGTTGTTATCAAAATATACTAAATACAAAGATAAACCTTTTATATCCTCTTGTGATCACTTCAACATAAATCTTCAAAACTTCGTTCAACCCCCCAATGAATATTTTTCTGGGCAACAAACGAAAATGCCTCCCGACGAAAAGGGTTAAACGATAAACCGGTCGCGGCGACTGCGTTGCACGAAATCGCATCTTCAATTGTGACTGTGAAAGATTCCCAGTCGGAGATTTCCTGGATTCGCGGAGCGGTCCCTATCTCGAGGAGAACGCGTCGCTCTTAATTAACGCCTTTATGCCGATTAGGCCACTTGTAATGATCACGATACCACTGACACTCCATATTTCACGATTTTAATGATCCCATAAAAACTTGGCCCCTCGCAGACGCCGGAGTGTTTTCAGGGAAAGAAAGAGAAAGATTAAGACGCGCCGGGAACGTGAACGGGATAAAGAAGAGAGACGGAGAGGGAGAGAGCGAGAGAGAGAG